AACTTTTTTTTTCAAAAATTTTGAAAATTAAACCAGTGTGGTCGTTCATTGCGGGGGTAAAATTAATCATAGCTTTGTATGTATGCAGTACAGTGAATAACAGAAAAACTTCAAAAAGAGCTCTTTTAAGACCCCAGTCTAGCAAAATTTGCTTAAATATGTGAGTAGTTCTATGACTTCTCTCCTATTTATGAAAGAGGAGTATCTTCACTGATACGGCCATTTATTGCAGCTTAGTCAGCAATCACAGAATCACAGAATGTTAGGGGTTGGAAGGGACCTCTGTGGGTCACCTAGTCCAACCCTCCTGCCAAAGCAGGGTCACCTACAGCAGGCTGCACACGACTGTGTCCAGGCGGGTCTTGAATATCTAGAGAAGGAGACTCCACAACCTCTCTGGGCAGCCTGTTCCAGTGCTCCGTCACCCTCAGAGGGAAGAAGTTCTTCCTCATGTTCAGACGGAACTTCCAATGCTTCAGTTTGTGCCCATTGCCCCTTGTCCTGTCGATGGGCACCACTGAAAAGAGTTGATCTATTTTTTTTCCTGCCAATGATACTGTCTCCTAATTATTGTTACCAGAATACTGGTTAACTCTTTAAGCTCTGATTTTGTTTGTGTGTGGGTTTTACTCTTTTTAAAAAAGAAATAAATCTGCTGCAACAGATGGTTGTTGTGTTTAATCGTGTTGTTAGGCCATCTGTTCCCACAGTCAGATGGGAGAAGACAAATTTATCACATCTCACTCAGTGAGAGTGAGACTCACTCAGTTGGTTTCCGTCTCACACAACCTCACAGACTTCTCCCTCACTCATTTACAGCTCTGCAGCATAATTTAGTGATGGGCTGCGTCTGGTGTAGGCTGAAAAGCTAGCTGTAGTGATACGCTGCAGCCTGGGAATGGCATGTAGGCTTCGTACTCTCCCTGGGAAGCTTTTCAAGGGCATAGTTGCTCACTGCAGCCTATTACCGTCTTCTTCTCTCCCTGTGCCCCAGCCATCTGGCTCACAGGTGTGAGAAAATACTGTCTTCTTGCTGAGGGAAAAGGACTTGAAGGCATCTGCAAAGGTGTGTATAGCCACACTGGAGTGGTGGAGGACCATGCTATTTGAATAAGGTGTACACGCCCTACTTCTGTCCTTTCCCCTTTCCTCAGATTTTTATAAAAGCTAGTTTCCAGAGAATTTACCACACAATTGAAGCTGCTGCACCAGTTAAAATGGGGTTTCTCTGACCAAACTGCATTTTGGGCATTTACTGAATTTGTCAGATGACTGATATATGTTTCTCTGAAGATGTTCCTTCAGCATACCCACAGTGGCTGTAAAATGAATCATAAATATAGGAGACAAGACTTCATTAACTGGAAACTGCAGCAATGAATATACAAAATTTTATCTTGACAAATTTGCTGCAAGTCCTTTTTCTTCATAAAATTATACTGTCTGTAATATTGCCTGTCTTACTTAAACAAATGGGTGGAAGGAAAAAGTGGAAGAAAAGCAGTGATACTTACAGCTTAGCACTTACGTATTTGCAGAAGTTGTAGAGATTTCTTTGAAAATAATTATTTTAAAATAAATTATTTTGATGAATCCTGTACCATTTTCTTTGTTTAAATGGGTCTATCAGTTTTAATTATATGTGGCAGGCAGCTTCCTGAGGAAGCAGTAAACAGGCAAGCACTCTTCTGTCAAGTGAAGTGAGAATATTCAGAAGGTGTAGGGCCAGATTTTAGGGTTTTGATGGAGCTATGAGTGCAGCAGTAACAAAAAGTCCCCCCAGATCTGTAGCTAGCAGTAATGGTGTTTAGAAAACAGTAATGGTTTTAAAATTTTTTTTATTGCTTTTTTCCTATCACTTTTTTTTTTTTTTTCTATTTATGACATTCTGGTAATCCTAAGGGTAAAGACACTTATGAATTGAAGCTTAGGTGACACAGATTTTAGCGGCCACTTGCAACCATCAGCTTTCTCTTGGCTGTAGCTTCCATGCTGTCAGAAAGGGAGGTAAATGGCCTGAGGGACTTCAACTCTACAGTTCCCTGTTCTGTCGCTGAGTGGGATCATAAGGGGTCCCAGCTTCTCTCCTAGCCGAGGAACACAGATACCAAGATGACAGTGTGGATGCATTCGGCTTCTGTTTCCCTGCTGTAGTCTTTGGCTTGCATTTTTCTCTGTTCACCTGGGGAATTTTGTGCTTTGACTTACAACTGCAGGATAGCATGAAGATTATTTTTGACCAGCCCTCTTGTCCTCCACAATTTGCTCCTAGGACAGGAGGAGGCTTTACAGAAAATTGCTGTAAACCAAACTGTGATTTTTTAACTACTACAATTCTTTTATCTCTGCTTCAGTGTACCTGAGCTGAATTTGTCTTTAGTAGCTGAAGAGCAAAGATCATATTCTAGAAAAAGTTATTAATAAATCAGATTAGTTGAATTACATTTTCTACCATTTAATACAAAACATGACACACAGGTAACTACTACTGTTTTCTTTCATCACGGCAGCTGCAGCTTATAGAAAAAGAGGAATGGTGGCTAGGAATATTGTCTATAACACGCCATCAAGTTTGCAAGAAAATAACCTTTTCGCAATCCAAAATGCCTCAAATTTGTGGACACTTGGGCATGTTGCCATCTGTGTTTTCTTATGGAAGAGTGATAGCTGTGGTAGGGCTGCATATTTAATGGAATAAAACCTTTATTTAATTGGAGGTAGAATTGGCATTGGTTTTGAACTGTGTGGGAGGGGGGCTTAGTTTATTAAAGATCTCTTAAGAAATAAAACTCTCTTGCAGTATTTTGCTAGGTATTTAAAGGAATAAACCACAGAATTTCATTATTGGTGGCTAATTTGCTTCTTTTTCTCTCAGGAAAAGATCATGTCTGTAGATTCATTGGATGTGGAAGGAATGACAGATTTAACTATGTGGTCATGCAGTTGCAGGTCAGTGTGTCAAACAGAGCTCAAAGTTTACTTGTGTATTTTGGTTTATTAGCCAAGCATACATGAAAATACCAGTAAAATTGTAGAGGATGATAAATTTTAAAAAACCCCAGAGATCTTGAATGCATAGTAGTGAGCAAATCTAAATTGAACATATCCTTATATCTTTATTCTTTGATATCCTTTCCATAATTCTCTCAGAAAGGAGGAAATTTGCGTCGTTAGAAAGACCTGACTGTTGAGTGAACTGTGATGTGAGATAATGCACATTTCTTTGAAATCTTCACTTGAAGATAGTCTAAAATATAGTATGTTAGTCTGTACATTTTGTTGGCTTTTTTGATGAAAGTGAAAAAATACCCTTTCAGATAAAAGAAAACACTTAATTCACTTTACTGGAAGACTTGTTCCTGTGAAAGGGGGTAAAGTGGGTGATTAGCACTGGCTAAGTGCAAAGTTATGGGAATATTGTCCTTTTTCATCTTGGTGAATATGAATACTGGAAAAAGAAGTGTGTGTAGTTCACATTGTTCGTCATGTGTTATTTTGACAGACCAACAGTTCTGTGATGTCACAGGGGTATATTTCCTGCATAGTATATTTTTCATCTGTTTGGTTAAGTCATCTAAGATATACTGTATAATTAAATAAACTATGCACTTTTCCTTAAAGATGTGAGTGTGAAGAAGTCTTTGTGAGCATTTTCTCAGTGGCCTTTTTTCAGGTGTAACACAGATACAGTATTAACTAAGTGTGTGTACTAGTCTTTTAATAGAGATTAGTTTGGTCCGTGTTACTTAGGCGTAGAAAGATACTAAGATTCATATTTTCAAAAATAGATTCTAAATTTAATGTTGGAGATACTCGAGGACATATACTCGTTACGTTTAGATGTGTTATCCTTGAATATGAAAATATTGACAATATGAAATATGAAAATGAGATTGTTCCATGGTTAACCATGAACAGCTAAAGAAGTAGGAAGACTTTACGCTATCTGTGAATCTTGATATTGTTTATGAAAACGTCGTTTTAATTTGATCAGGGTCGAAACTTGGCAGACCTGCGTCGGAGCCAGTCTCGAGGAACCTTCACTATTAGTACCACTCTACGGCTTGGGAAGCAGATTTTGGAATCTATTGAAAGTATTCATTCTGTGGGATTCCTGCACAGGGACATCAAACCGGTAAGTCTGCCCATTCAATCAAAACAGGCAAGTAATATGTGGTCATTAGATGGCTGCATAAATAAAAATAGGTTCTATACTAGATGTTAAAATGAAAAAATTAGAAGGGACAGAAAATTGAATGTTTATTCATCAGATGGGGCAGATTTTATCTATTTAATTGCAAAACAGATAACTTTGATCTTTGTCATCATTGTCTCCAGTTACTTAGGCCTCCTTGCAATTTTTTGTAGTTAGAACTTCCAACTCTTATCTGCAGCATAGTGCAATCAGGAGTATTTGCCATGAGATATGATATAATGAGTTTGGCTAATGGCAATTAGTATTTTCATGTAATAAATCAAAAACAATAGGTAATAACTGTAAGGTGCATTTATAAGGTCTTCAATAGCAATTTTTTGTATTTAAAATGTTTATAACAAATAAGGAAAGAAAAGACAAACTGTAAGAGAAAACTATTCGATTGTTTTATTGTGGAATTCTAATAAATTGAGTATTGTCAAAATACCATGAGGACAGTTCCTTCCTGTGTTCTTCTTATTTTTTTCTGTTTTTCTTTGAATTTATTCCTGAAATTGCAGCAGCTCTTTTTAATATTATTCTACATTAAAAATATCATTAGACATCTGAACTCTCAAGATTTGTAAATGAGAAGAAATAACGAAATCTTCGGTTTTCTAATAGATGCAAGTATGGTTGGTTATAACTGGCGTATATAGCTAAAGTTCCTGTCAGCTGAATGATGTTTACATAAAACCTGTGACAAGTTTCTGTGCATTAGGGAATTTTAATTTTCTTCACTTCTTCCTTGCAACATTTTATAAAACTTGTATTCTCCCTGACCCATCCCCAACACTTCATTGAACAGGGAAAGGACACAGAGGCAGAGAATGTCAAGTGAAATAGGTGAGGAGTTAGTGGGAGCACAAGATTTTAATGATGAAAACAGTTTAAGTTTTGAATGAGAAATGTGTTCCTTTATGGCTAACAGGATGGATTGGGGGTATCTTGTGATGTAGCTGTATCTTGGAGTCTATGGGCTCAGATAGGATGGAAATGGAGAATGCTGTTAGGGGACTGAAAACAACCAGAATTTAAATGTTGAGCTAGGATAAACAGCAGTGTGAGGCAGTATATTAGATTCATAAAAAAAAGACTATTTCTTCCCATTTAGGAGTTAGGTTGTGACTTACACATGCAAAAGAAGGCACGATTGCTTTCTAGAATGCAGTTTTCCTGGCTTGAATGTACAAGTCCATTTTATCTTTTGTTATATATCTTCCAGGTAGATTATACTAAAAGCAAGCTTTGTGCTGAGCTGAAATCTTGAAATCCTTGCTATTTGCCTCATGTAATGAATTAGGCAATATTGAAATTCTGTTCTGTTTAAAAATAATGTTGATCACATTCATTTAAATTCATGGTTTCGATTGTTTTTTACCCTCATCCTTTGACTGTGAAGCAGCTGTGAATTTCAGTTTTATTTAGAACAGTACTGCTATTTCACTTAACGTAAAGAGAAAAGTAGTTTTTCTGGAGTTAATTGCATTAAGCTTCCAGCTTGCTCAGATGTGTAGTTTCAATTCCATTTCACGGAACTTGTTTTTAGCTTTATCTTTTTTCATATCACATAATCCATTTTAAGGGGATTTGGTGGGGCGGGACGTGGACTGAATCAGTCAACATGTTCAAACATCATAAACTAGCAGTGTTGAAGAATTTTTTTTTAAAGGGCTGACATGGAATATTAATTCATAGAGGCAAATAAAATTTACTGAAGCTTTTCAGAAGGAGTTACCTCCATAAGTCCTTACTGACTTTCCAGCTCTTACTGTTTGGTTGTTTTGTTATTCGTTTTGTTTTTAAACCTGGTTCTTCCCCCTCCCATGAAAAGGAAAAGGCAGTTTGCACCACTTACTCTATATTCTGCATGTATGATATTAGTGCATTTGTTTAGATGAACTTGTTAGCCCATAGGTTGGTAGTTTTTTGAAATGTCCAAATCAAAACATGTCAGTGGGTGACATGACTGGAGAATTTTTACTAAAAATTAATATATTCTAGGTGACGAAGTAAGATGACAATCTCTTTGGACCACGTAGGGTGCTGTTCAGAGATGCTAAGTTGGATGTCCGATTTTCTAAACAGCGTTTTCTTCAAATTTAGTTAGAGTTTAGTAGAACTGAAAATATGGAAGGAAGGATAGAGAAGTAGAACATGGATTTTCAGTGACTGTGTTACTGCATTAATACATGCACATACTGAAATGTGTGTGTGTATGTATCTATATATCTGTCTGTATTTGTTTTTCTTCCTAGTCTAACTTCGCAATGGGACGTTTTCCTAGCACCTGTAGGAAGTGTTATATGCTGGATTTTGGCTTGGCACGGCAATTTACCAACTCATGTGGGGATGTCAGACCAGTAAGATTTTTTCACAGTTTTCAGTTTGATTAATTAAATGTGGTAATATACTGTCTTTCTGGAGAATATGGGAGTTGCACTGAAGTGGTACTGATCTAAACTTGACAAACATCATCCCAGATCAGAAATGCCATGTGATTTACTGATGATGTTAAAAGATTGGCAGTCGGGAATGAAGCAGGTTTCTAATTTTCGGCTTGAGTCAGAGGTGTAGTCTATGATTTTTTTTTTCATAATCTATCTTTTAGTTTGGAAAAATCAAGTGACAAATAGGTTTTCATTAAATAACAAAGTAATACACCAGAGCTGAATTTCATTTGGTAATATATATTGCATTAAAAAAAAAAAAATCTATGTAGGAGAAAAAAGTCAAACACTAAACTGAATATATAATCTCCTGAAAGAGAAAGTCTGAATAATTAAAACAGTGATAGGACACTAATTATATTGTAGACCAGGACATAGTTAAGTGTAGTTGCTGTATTCCCATTCAGTGCAGTCTGAACAAAATTGTAGATAAAACCGTATCAGTGAGCGCATTACAATTTTAAGTACAGTAGAGCCTCCCTAATTCACTGACGGGCAGTCCTTTTGTTATTTTCAAAGTTTGAAAATGAGGAAATCAGTGCCATGGTACAGGATGTTTTTTTAAAGAAACGTATTTTCTGTATTAAACTAGCTTATTTTACATTTTGACGGTAATACTGAGTAATGTACTAGTCAATATTGTGTAGCATATTTATTGATGTGATGCGTTTTGAGTGGTAGAAGCCATCTATACAGGATTGTCAATTTTCTTTTGCCTAAGAAGTTGGGAAAGTGGCAAATTTTTTATGTGCAATTTATGAGGTTTGTGAATTAGTAAAGTATATTGGTGGGGTTCTGCTGTACTCTATTCCTTCAGCCATAATGCTGGACACTGCAATGAAAGCAAAGAGCAGGGGAGACCAACAGAATGGCTGCTGCTGTTGGAAAGGTGAGCTAAACATTTTCAGTAGTCTAAAAATTTTTTTTTTATTTCTCGGTGTTCTTGCCGTGTTCTATATGTTTGGCAGCTTATAATGTTTTTGTAACTGACCTGTAATTTTGAAAACATTTCCCAGGATTCCGTAATTTCTATATGTATACACACCAATGATAATATTTTCAGAAAACAGAGAAATACTAAATTTTCCATTCTTATCACCTGCTATTCTTTCTTTTGTAACAACTCAGCTCTTGCCTTTTGGTTTTCATTGCAGTGCCCTACAATGTAACTGAAGTAATTCCTCAATTTAATTTGTTTAGATTTTTTTGACAGTGTAATCCATATTAATAGAGTGAGGGGAAAAAAGACAGTAGTTTTATTTGTACTTAATAGTCAGAAATGGCTCTTGTATAGATAGCAACCATACTGTTGGCCTTGCTTACTAATAAAATTTATTAATATTTTCATTGAATTTGCTGTGTGCTTCTATGAAATTCTGTGTGCTTCTCCTTAAGGCTATCCTTCTTCTAAACTTCATTAGATTTCTTCAGCAGATACTACAAATAACCTGGAACAATGTAAAAGCATGTTCTCCAAAAAACATAGTTCTCTATTGGTAAGAACCTGTTCTTTAGTTAAGGTTGATTATTAGATTTTTATGATAAGCCTAATTTTCTGTATACCTGACTTCCACAGAAAGAATCCAGTCCTGCTGAGATTTTACATATCGTCCCTGAGTCCTTGAATTTCCATTATGTGTTCTAAAAGAATCAGAAGAGAAGTTTTGGAAATTATAGTATCAGGTTTTAGTCCTTTGACAGCTTTGTGTATTCCCCAACATTAAGGAATTCCTGGTGGCCATAAATCTGTTTGATCAACTCAGAAAGACGGAATAGGCTTTTATGGATACTGTTGAAAGCAGAAAGTTTGACAGGACTGTATTTCCCTCCGGAAATCATTGGCCAGCACCACTGGCTAGCACATACGTTCCAACAGGTGGAGATAAAAAATCGAGTTAGCTTCAAGACTGGTAGAGAAGAAAGGTGTTGTGTAGTTCTTCGACAAAATGCAAGTTAGACTGGCAAGGGGGTTGAAATGAAAAGGCAATTAAAAGGATAAATTATCAGTTTTACAGTATAAATCTTGGTAATATAAGTAGTATTCACTTGACTGAAGTCCAAACAAGAAGTTGAAAAGAGGTCCTTATGGTGAGGAAGACTGCTTTATTTTGTGAAATCAGGTCAAGAAACAAAAAGGAAATGAGAAATTTATCAAACCATTAAGCTACCCAACATTAGACTCTTAGTTACAGTACGTTGCAACAAGACAGAGGAATGCAGCAGAGTTTCATATGACTTCAGTGTGATAAGGTGTTCTTGATTCAGATCTGTTATAAAAAGAGGAAGTATGAAACTTGAGAATCCATGGTTTTATTCCAGTATTTGACTGAAGTATATGCTGGTGACTACTGATATGTTCAACCATCCATTCAGACCCTTCTGTATTTCTGTTAAGCCTGTGCTTAATCTAATCTCAGTCTTTCCGTTTGTGTCTCCTCTCTGGTTTCCTTTCTACATCCACCTCCTCATATTGATTTGCTTCCACTTAAACTAATTTCTTTTCTCCTTGCAGTTTTGGTGCCCACTGGAATAGTATAATACAACTAAGTGAAGTTTTCTTTGCTCTCCGTTTCTTTTCTTTGCACCACAATGAAACCTGAAAGCATTCTGAAGGAGTGAGAGAAAAGAAATTCAGGCTGTTGCAGCTCTGGATTGGATTATGCCTCATGACAGACAGAACATTTGAAGAATTTAGATGCCTGATTCAAACAAGGCTGCATTGAGTTTGTGTGAAATTTAGTTTTTCAAAAGTTCAGGCATAATCAGCTTTGCGTGGCTAGTAGATTATTCCTTGGCATCATAATGGTACACTCTCAAATCCCTCCTTGTCTGTCTTCATTCCAGGGCATGCTGGGGGTATAGGCTTCCTACAAATTATTGTGGGGCTTAGCGAAACAAACATTAGTTTCAGCTGCATTCAAGAACAGTTTGAGATTATTTTCTGAATTAAAAGCAAGCAGCTACAGAAATGTCGTCTAACATGTAGAATTCATCTTAAATTGGTAATATGCAGAAAGTTTCAAGCGACTGAATGCAGAATCTTCTATGGAAAGTAGTGGCCAATGTTTTAAGTATAGACTTTACTACAGGTGCCATATATGATATGTTGGCAGTGAAGTTCACAAACAGGCAGCAGTGCTAATGAATCTGGAGCAATTTTAATGTTCCAGCAATATTCCAATAGAAAATGTTTATGCTTTAAAGTAGAAATGAAGGTTCATTCAGGTTAGAGACCTTTCATATTTTTGGTACTACCTGTAGTAATTACTTTTGTGTTTCACTTTGTTAGTATAGTAGTTACCAAACATATCACTTTTCATTACAGAAAATGCATTGACAACACAGACACTTCCCTAGCATGGACTTGGTTCTCCCTCATCTTTTCTGTGGTGTAAAGACCCATTCTGAACATTAGTTTCTTCATGTGCACTTACCTGTCTATAATACTCCAAATCATGGCCTATGGAACTAAGTCTCCCATGCATCATATTAATTTAATTGCAGGGTTTTAATGAGTTATCATAGACTCTTTTGGGGCAAATTTTACAGTAGCTTCAGATCTATTTGTGTTCATTGCAGTCTGTTTTCTCATCTTGCTGCGATGCTTCTCTACCTTCCGGAAATAGCTGCAGAATTAAGTTAAAAGCAGCTCTATCTCCCATGATAAATTAAATTATTCTCTAGAGTAAATAGATGTCATTACACCAAAAATTGCTCCCAAGATTTTTGTGCACTGTAGGCAAACAAAGCCAGTGTTTGAGTACTGCTTATTTCAGTTCAACTTGAGTGTAATCTATCTTTTTCTCCTTTGTGGGAGCACTGTTTTCTGGAATTCTCATTTCATTGCTGTTTATTACTAGAGAGAAGTTTTAAAATGAGACATTTGACACATTAACTAGAATGAGAATGTATTTTAATTTATGATTTACTGTGAAATAAGATGATGTTTATTTCACTGTTTTGTTTCTTCTGCTGTTGTTTACCCTAAGTAGTCTCTATTACGCAGTTCATAAGAAATAAAGCTACTCTGGTTCAGTCTGCCTTGAAATAAATTGTGGTTTATAAATTAGTAAGTTGACACTATTTTAGTGTTAAAATATATGTATTAATTAAATTATCTAGGGATCATAATATAATCAAGCTTGCAAAGAAAGTTACGTAGGTGGATTAATCTACAATTGAAAGAAAATGTTTAGCTTGTCTTTACTGAGAGATGTTAACATCCACAATTTTAAAATGTCTGTAACTATGCCATCAGAACTAATTTATAGCTTCTCCCACACCCATGTGATATCAACATACCATCTGTTGACATCTTCTTTTCCTGTGCTGGTTTTTCTTCTCAACATTACTAGCTTTCGTATTCCGTGATTCCTGTCAGCTTGCTCTCCTTTTCAGTTTTCTCCATGTTCCGCTAATAGAAGTCTTGAAACTGCATCCACATAGTTTCTGCCTCTTTATCTTTGATGATAGTCTTCCTTTATCTGACTTTCGTCTGGCTCCAGCTTCTTTCACGAATAGATTTCAAGTCTGCTTTATTCAGTGTGTCCCTCTCTAGTTTTATGTTCCCTCCTTTTCCCCTTTATCTTCAGATAGCCTCATAAACACATTTTTTTGTCTCCAGGTACATGATTCATGTTTGTGATGTCCCTGTTCCAATACTATTTCCTTCTGTTCAAACTAAAACTGTGCCATCTGTCTATAGTATCTTTGTGAATATCTTATGATGACCTCAAACATGACGTGCACTTGGTCTCCTTTCTCCTATGCCAACCACTCAACGCTACTTCTGTTCCTAATCACTGCATGTGATACTATCTTCTTGTCATCAAGGCTTGCTGGCAGTTTTGAGTTGGTATGTCTTTACATCCAGTCTGTGTATATATCCTGACAGAGTTTTCTGTATGATAAGT